CTCTCAGATGAGAGGGGTCAGACTTCAGAGCTGAGGCCACGACTTCACATTCAGTCTTTGAGAGTCCCCAGGCAGTAAGTCTATAATAAAACATATATTACAACATGTGTTAAAAAGAGGAAACATTATATTAACATCAAGCATTTGATGAAAAAAGATTTGACATGTTCTGATAGACCTTTGCTGTTAGTCCATTTAATATAATATATAATAATATATGATAATAGAGTGTAATGAGTTGTCAGTGTGATCTGATCACATGTCTGTGCTCCTGCTGTCACTGACTGTTACCAAAAGAAACAGAAATTAAATTAATCACTTGACAAATTAGAGATGTATATTTAAATGTTAATTAATATGTGGATGTGAATGATGGATGAAGGATGCTTTGGCTTCTCTGAGCATCTGAACATTTATTGCGCACACAAACACAATTAACAAACCAATAAAGTTTCAATATGTTCAACTTGATAGCATCAGATGTTCCCAGTATATCAGCATTAAGACATAACTCTGTTATTGGTGGGAAATGATATAGATCTGATTTTAAACTCTAACACATTGTGATCAAAACGTGTTTAATGATAAAGAAACTACTAGAAAGTAATCATTAAAAAAAGGGTTGTTGCTTCACTTAAGGTTTGGAGGGAAGTCTGTCGTAATCTAAAACGATATGGAGATGTAATCTTCTTGAAAGAAATGAACTGATCAAGACTTCCCTCCTCACAAACTGAACAAAGACCACCACATGTTGAAACTATGGGCTTCTAAGGGCTTGAGGACATTTGGACAAATGTTCGGTGATAAAGACGTGAAGTCCTTTGAACAGCTTTCGTTACAATATGATTTACTCAAATACCATTTATTCACATTCTTCCAAGTGAGGAGTTATCTTTCCGGCATTTAAAAAGAGATCTTTTCAAGACATCAAGCCATTAATAAAATACATGCTTACAGTTTATGACCCTGGAGTGGAAACAACATTTCTAACTCAGATGGTTCAAATATTACATTAAGAAATCAAGATGAACACAGTATTATTAATGTAACAAATACATGGGGAAATGAATGATCCTGCAATATGCCAGAAGCAGATTGGGAACAAATGTGCAGAAACATTCAGAACACAACCAACTCAAACTACTGGAAAGAAAACACATGAAGCTTTTAACTCCATCCTTTAAGACACCCCAGATTCAAAGTGAACACAAACAAACCCTCACTTCAAAATGCTGGAGAGAATGCGCTGAGCAGAAACCAGACACATATATTCTGGGCCTGTGATGTGTTGGGAGACTTCTGGGAAACAGTTTGAAGAGAAATGTCCAATATCTTGTTCTCTCAACAAAAACCCATTGTCCCTATCACTGGGGAAACACCAGAGGAGATACAGAAAGATTCCTATCTATTTCTGGTCATTAGAAAAGCCATCATCAAACTAATGATGAGGAATTGTCTAAAAGATAATAACTCAGTAAACTCACAATGGAATAACTTAGTAAATGAAATCTATGTAACGGAGAAAACAACTAGATTAGAAACCAAATGCATATCTTTGAGGAAAGGTGGGAGGAATGGGTCAGTATAGAACAATACAGTGAATATAATTAATGTGTACCTGAGTATTCATAATGTATTCATAATGTATCCATTCTTTCATTTGTAATATTATTAATACTATTATCTTATTATGTCTTCTCTGATTTCTCATCTGTTATGTAGTTCATCTTGTACTTAGATGTGTTTATTTGGTTATGTATGCTTTGTGAATATTTTCTTAAAAAGCAAAGAAAAAAGCAAAGAAAGTAATAATAACATGTTTCTGTGATAACTGTAAGTCCTGCTGTGTGGTGTGATCACATGCTGAGAAAGCTCTCAAGTCCTTCATGTGTTTGACATGTCGCCTCCATCACTCAATATGAAGAGAGGAACGCTTCAGTTTAACTATTATTATAAATAAATAGAAGAACAGTGTTGGTTTGATTTTGCTCTCAGTATTTAAACAGCAGAAATGTTATAGTGTTTATTTGAATAATTAAACTCCTGATCCACATTAGTTTATAAAGTTAATCACATCTGGACTTACTTGAACTTCCTGCAGTTCCTCACAGCTGGAATCAGTCTCAGTCGTCCCTCCACTGATGTGTTGTACTTCTCCAGGTCCAACTCATCCAGAACCTCCTCTGACATCTGCAGCATGTAGGCCAGAGCAGAGCAGTGGATCTCAGAGAGTTTCTTCTCTGATCTGTTCTCTGACTTCAGGAACTCTGTGATCTCCTGATGTACTGAGAGGTCCTTCATCTCTGTCAGACAGTGGAAGATGTTGATCATCCTGTCAGGAGAGATATAATAACCTCTCATCTCCTTCAGGTTGCTGATGGCTCTCTGGATGGTTTCTGGTCTGTTGTCTGTGCGACCCAGCAGGCCTCCTAACAGTCTCTGGTTGGACTCCAGAGAGAGGCCGTGGAGAAAGCGGACAAACAGGTCCAGGTGGCCATTTTTACTTTGGAGGGATTTCTCCATGGCTCCCTTCAGGAAGTCATCTAGGGATGGGTAATCCTGATCACTGCTGTTGTTAAAGTCTCTCTGCAGGAAGTCCTTCAGTACCTCTGTGTCTCTGTTGGTGTAACAGTGCAACATGTAGACTGCAGCCAGAAACTCCTGAATGCTCAGATGAACAAAGCAGTAGACTGTTTTCTCAAAGATCACTCTCTCTCTTTTGAAGATCTGTGTACAAACTCCTGAGTGCACCAAGGCCTCGGTGACACCAAGACCACAGCGCTGCAGGTCTTCTTGGTAGAACATGATGTCTCCTTTCTCCAGATGTTCAAACGCCAGCCTCCCCAGCTTCAGAAGAAGCTCCCTGTCAGCCTCCGTCAGCTGCTGTGGACTCGTCTCATGTCCCTCTTCATACTTCTGCTTCTTCCTCTTGGTCTGGACCAGCAGGAAGTGTGAGTACATGTCAGTGAGGGTCTGGGGCAGCTCTCCTCTCTGGTCTGTAGTCAACATGTGGTCCAGAACTGCAGCAGTGATCCAGCAGAAGACTGGGATCAGACACATGATGTGGAGGCTCCTGGAGCTCTTGATGTGAGAGATGATTCTGCTGGACAGGTCTTCATCACTCCATCTCCTCCTGAAGTACTCCTCCTTCTGGGCGTCAGTGAAGCCTCGTACTTCTGTTACCCTGTCCACACACTCAGGAGGGATCTGATTGGCCGCTGCAGGTCTGGAAGTTATCCAGACGAGAGCCGAGGGAAGCAGCTTCCCCCTGATGAGGTTTGTCAGCAGCACGTTGACTGAGGACTGCTGAGAGACATCAGACACAACCTCATTGTTTCTGAAGTCCAGAGAAAGTCTGCTTTCATCCAGGCCGTCAAAGATGAAGAGCACTTTGCAGACAGCCAGCTGCTCTGCTGTGACCTTCTGTAAGGTTGGATGGAAAACATGGAGCAGCCTGAGAAGACTGTACTGCTCACCTTTGATCAGGTTCAGCTCCCTGAAGGAGAGCGGGATCACCAGACTGACATCTTGGTTTCCCAAACCCTCGGCCCAGTCCAGAGTGAACTTCTGCACTGAGAAGGTTTTTCCAACTCCAGCGACTCCGTTGGTCAGGACCGCTCTGATGAGAGTCTGTTGGTCAGGTAAGGCTTTAAAGATGTCCTGGCACTTGATTGGAGTGTCATGGAGGGGCTTCTTCTTGGAAGCTGCCTCCAGCTGCCTCACCTCATGTTGGGTATTAACCTCTTCACTCTGGCCTTGTGTGATGTAGAGCTCAGTGAAGATCCTGTTGAGGAGGGTTTCACTTTGATCAGTTCCTTCAGTCACACGTTCACATCTCCTCCTCAGACTGAGCCTATGTTCATCTAAAACCTCCTGCAGACCACTATCTGCTGGAAGAGAAGGAAACACGAGAGAATGAGGGAAATGCTCTGAGAATCTAATTATAACAATAAAACAACAAAAAACAGACTGAGTTTAAATGTTTTATAAACAGCTTACTGTCTATGCTCTACAACAGTATACCTGTTCAAACACACATGAACCAGGAAGAGGAATAAGACGCTGCATGTGTTCGGCCTCTTACCTCGTACAGAGCTGGTCTGACTGGCTGTCTGCAGTCCAGCTCTGGTTCTGGATCTTTCTCCACACTGGGGACAGGAGGGGTCTCCTGATGGAGGTCTCTGCTCCCAGTATGAGGTGATGCACTGTCTGCAGAACCAGTGTCCACAGCTGGTAGAGACTGGATCCTTCAGGACGTCCTGACACAGAGCACAGCTGGACAGCTGCTCCTCCACAGGAACACCACTCTTCCTCTTCCCTCTGTGGAGATGAACACATCCTTTACAGCACGTCACATTAGTGGAGCTGATTCTCACCAATGGGCAGAGCGTCACAAACGTCTCTCTCAAGATGAAATGTGTCACGCTGCACGAATACGCAGGTGACATGAATTTCACCTCTTCACTTTCTTGGTGTCTCCAGGCACGGATCTGGGTCTTTGCATTGACTCTACATGTAATCACACAAAGCTCTGTTATATCTGCTAATGCTAAACACAACCAGCTCACCAGGTTATCACTATCATTAATAAACATCTTTAAAATACATATCATAAACATGCACAAGTAGTAAATAATGTTTTGGATGATATATTTAGTTTTTAGTGAGTATTTATCAATATCTTTTAAAGCCTTTTGATGCCACTGATACAATGATGCTATAAATGCATATTGAAATATCCTCAAATAATGTTAGCTTGCTGAACTCTGCTGCCTTTGTTCTGTACTATACTGCACACATGATATTATTAAAGAACAGTTTCATATATTAGATGATATAAGAACTGGATCCTCTTCAGGTCAGGTTACAGCAGAAACTCTTACTTTGTGTCTGAGGGTCCAGGTTCATTACTGAATAGTGGAGGAAAGTCTTTAGACTGGTCACTCTTCAGAGACAGACAGCTGGAGACTGGAGATGTGTCCTCTTCCTCATCTTTAAAACCACTCATCTTCTCCAGTCTGAGAGATAAACCAGTAACACTGAAGACGAACACACACACACACACACACACACACACACACACAAATCTTTGTATTACTGAAATTAAGAGCTTCATATATTTTATATACATATTTTAATGAGGCCAATTGAGCAGATAGTATTACACTGGAAAACTAGAACAAACATTTTTAGTGAAACAATAATGAAGATTGTTTAGAAAATTCAGCAGTTTTATTTAAAAAGCATGAGTAGGACACACCTTTTTGTGCTGATTTTATATGAATATTTGAATGACATTTTAGCTGAAGCCACTCTCACAAAATCACAAGTGCAAAAACAACACACTTGTTTACTCCTGTTAGCCACAGATCAACACACACACATGCTGTGTATCATAATAATATTTAATGTAATGTAATTTAATGTAATGTCGGCCTGTTACCTGCTGGTATGTTATGGTCAGATCTCTGATCACCACGTGTTCATTAGGAGGTGTCTCCCCCTGCTGGAAACACACAGGAACAACACGTGGTAAATACACACAATATGTTCTCAGTTAATGAACATTTCTCTAAAGCTTCACTTCATTAAATGCTTTAATATTACCAGTGGCCGACTGTAACTAAGTATATTTCCTCAAGTACTGTACGTTGTTTTTGTTTAATCCAATACATCTCAGAGGGAAAAATTGCACTTATTACTGACTACATTTATCGAACCCACATGGTTTCATCTAAATAACAAATGATCATTATTTCATTACAAATACAATGTTGGAGACATGTCTAGAAAGGGAGAACAGATTTATGTTTTAGAAAACATTTGCTTCTTTCCACCCGAGATTTACCTGGTGACCTTTGGAGGGGGCCGACCCTTAGGTTGAGAACCTCTGGACTAAACTATCAAACTTTATATTAAGGAGTAAAAAAGCTGCTCTAAGATTAAAGCGTTTGTATTAATAATGTCAGTAATTATATCTCACACACACACACACACACACACACACACACACACACACACACACACACACACACACACACACACCAGGGGTGTCAAACTCAATTTCATCGCGGGCCACATTAGAATGATGGTTGCACTCAAAGGGTGGTAACTTAAAGACTATATAAATATACATAGATAAATATATATAATATATATAAAATAATGTATTATTTTACAATATTTCCTCTGCATTAGATCAGGGTTGCCAACTTTGGGTACCTGGCTGGAGTGAGATTTTGATATCATGGGTTTAATTCGGTTTAATTACACATATGCGCACGAAATGACTGCTATCGTGTCAGCAGCGGGATCTTAGCATATATATATAGGATATATATACAATATATACAAATACACAATAATGGATAATAATAAAATAATGGAAAATGTATCCAACTAAATTAATTATCGTGAGAGGCCTATGAAACACACACACAAACAAATCTACAGACTTACTCCAAACTGCCAAATATATTAATTAACACACTCTCACTCTCATATACTCTTTGACTCTATTTTGGCCTAGTAGAACAATAAGCAGCAGACTTTTACTTTTTTATCATTTCTACTGGATCTTAGATCTGCGCATGCGCAATACGTGTCGGCAGTTGCTGCTCCAGAGTATTTTTGTTGCGTAATCTATGGTAGGGCTAACCCATACAGTGGTGGGGCTCAAGTCAGTATATATGTAATTACATACACGCTCCCCCCCGACAGTGAAACGCCACGCGTGAGGTTTAGATTATTTCCCTGTCTCAATCCAAATTGAACTGTATGAAATAAAAGGCACATTTGTCTTGAAGTAAATAAAAAGGGCGACCTGGAGCCAATCCTGCAATTTCCCCACAAGTGAAAGAGTTGACATGCTGAAAACCCAACCCCTGCAGGGGGGGTCTGGGGGGATTCTCCCCCAGGAGATTTTTTTAAATACTAATATAAAATACACATTCTAGTACTCTCTTGAGAAGAAAAATAAATAAATCTATTACTACACGACATATTTAAAAAATGAATGGCATTTTAGTTTTGTGTTACTTTTGTTCTGGAAAGCTGAAGCTGCTGCTCCTCACAGAGAGAAGAGGGAAGAGGCTGTGTGAATTACTTTACATTGTGGATAAGGGTGGATAGCCCCCATTGTTCTGTGTGTCAAAATGAAAGACACACACCTATCAATCATCAAACCGTGGGGTCTTATTTCATTACGTGTTGATTTCTATCAACACGTAATGTTGTATCGATGTATAGAGATGTACTACCGCAAAAGTATTCTCCGTCGGGACTTCCTGCAACAACACCACGCCGTTATCGTGATTCTGATTGGCCAGAAGACATTATCAAAGATGTTCTATTGAGAAGACGATCACTACGTGACAAAAGTTTTCAAAACCGTTTCTAGTCTTCGGTATTCTTGTTTTTGGCGTGAAAATAGTTTGGGAGATTGAGAGTGAAAGCGTGTGTCACACGCCAGATGCGTGAGAGTTGGCAACCCTGTTAGATTATTATCAGATAGGGTAATAACTTCATAATTAACTACGTCTGAAAGCAGAAGTCTAGGGCACATAATTACAAGTAATTGCAAGTCTCTTCAGTGCGCATCTCACAAAATGAGATGCATTGTAGGACATGTAGTTTATGGGCAACGCGCTCCTGTAAAGCAGCACGTAACCTTATACAGGGTGCGTACGGGTGCTGGAAATCCTTGAAAATGCTTGAAATTGTACGAGGTGTTTTCAAGGTTTGAAAAGTGCTTAGATTTTGGGAATGGTGCTTGAATTTGGGATAAAGTGCTTGAAATTGTAAATGCTTTACTTCGCTTTTTAGATTAAAAGAAAATAAAGAAGTCTGAGCGCGCTTAATTGCTTCGCTTTTACATAAAACAGCTCCGCTCCGGCCTTCCCGCGCTATGCGCGTGACCGGCAAGTGTTTTTGTTACGTGTGTGACCTGGGCATTCTGATGAGAGTGATAGATGACAGTATGCCAGGAGGTTGCCGTTTCAACGAGCGTTGGCTAGCAGAAGACAAATACAAGCCATGGCTAAGACGAGGGTCAAGCGAAGCCCAAGAGTAGCCTCCTGCAAAGTGTGCAACAATAACGATGCGAGAGTCTGCGCTGACGAGCGACACACCACACGAAAGGTACGCCATAGTAGAGCATTTTAGATTAGGCTATCGTTGCATGTAAAATACATGACACTTTTCTCTGTACAAGCTCGCCAAAATGGCTTCACTAGTCTGGCAGTATTTTAAGTGTCCGAAAATGACAATAAAATAGCGGTATGCAACGTGTGTGTGAAGCAGAAATCCTGCAGCTCCACCCGCTGTGACGGACCGGTGAGCGGAGCAGAACACACATTAAGAGTTAGACCTAACACACTTAGCTATTTGATCTACCTCTGGAACAAGCTAAACTAGTTATACATATATTTATTCTTCACTGTCGGGTCGCTCATTACTGGATCAGTGGGCTGCAGGAGATACTGACGGGCTGTCAGGAGAGAGAGAGGGGGGGGAGAGAGGGAGAGAGAGAGAGGGGGAGAGAGGAAAAGAGAGCGATATCGGTATCGGCCGATACTGATTCCGGCGATCGGCTCCACAATTGGCGATCGGAGCATCACTAATAATTGTATATGATATGTTTTATAATGATTGATCATGAAAGTGTTATCAAAGCTGGTAAAGTTGCAGCTAGTTTGAATGACTTTGTATACTACAGAGTAGCTTGTGAATTTACTCCAGGTGGAACTAAAGTCTGATTTAACACTTGATTATATTTCACATCATTCATCCACATCTGTAAAGTAACTAAAGGTATTAAATACATGTAGTGGAGTAGAAGTACACCATTTACCTCTGACTTCCCTGCTGAAAAAACCAGCTTAGACCAACAAGGCTGGTCTGGCTGGTCAGGCTGGTAAACCAGCCTGACCAGCCAGTCAATATTAGGCTGGATTAGTTTGCTGGTTGAGAGGGGTTTTGGACACTTTAGCTGGTCAGGATAGCTGGTTTGGTCACAGTGGTCTAGCTGGTCACCATTAGCTGGTCGGGATAGCTGGTTTAGCTGGTAAAAGCTGGTGGTCACAGTGGTCTAGCTGGTCAGGATAGCTGGTTTGGTCACAGTGGTCTAGCTGGTCACCATTAGCTGGTCGGGATAGCTGGTTTAGCTGGTAAAAGCTGGTGGTCACAGTGGTCTAGTAGCTGGTCACCATTAGCTGGTCGGGATAGCTGGTTTAGCTGGTAAAAGCTGGTGGTCACAGTGGTCTAGCTGGTCACCATTAGCTGGTCAGGATAGCTGGTAAAAGCTGGTGGTCACAGTGGTCTAGCTGGTCACCATTAGCTGGTCCGACTGGTATGATCTTGAGTAGAACTTTAACTGGGATTACTTGATGGTTAAGCTGGTCATATATGATGATGAAACACTCTCACCCAATTGCAGTAGCTCAATGAACATCTATCGTTTCAGATCAGAGCACCTACCTTACCAGAAAGGTACCAGAATGTATAGAATGTCTGTAAATAAATACTCATACATCAAATGATTAGAAGCAGGAAAATAATTTATAACACACAATGAACATTAACACACATTTGAAAACATTTTCAAAACACCCATTACTTCATATTTTTAAGCAATTTCCTTCAACTGTTTCTTTCCGTTTTTCACAAGGTCCTGTATTTTTTGTGAAATGTAGTAACCGGCCAACTTCTCCTTCTCGGTCTTCTCCACGTTTTGTGAATTCAGCCATCCTTTGAAGCACTCTTGAAAAGAGAAAGGAAAAACAGATTACATTTTAGCTTTGTGTTATGATTACTTAAATATGTGCACTGTGAGATGAAAAAGAAAAATGTATCAAGTTTAGTTTTGAACATTCACTGTGATTGGGTCTATTGTCCACGCAATACACCGTATTTAATTTTTTATTTAATATTCTGTTCTTGTAAATATCATATTCTATTATATTACATGTATATAAACTTTTTGCACTACTTTTTATTTTGTATTTTTGTATTTTATTGTATATGTTGCATTGTTGGAGGAGCTCAGGTCAGAAGAATTGCATTGACATTTCTACACTGTAGCTGCTGAGCATATGAGAATAAAAGCTTTGAATCTTGAATCCAACACTTTTTTCAGTGGAAAATCCTGAATTGTAGGATACTTTGGCCATAATAATGCTTTATGATTACATTTCTAGTGAGAAGTGTATATTTTACTTTCAGAATCTTCCTCCAGTGGATGTGCACCTGCGTAACACATGGTGCCTCTTGTCTGAACAATTTTTTAAGCGATTTGTAATCTATTCTTGTCGACTTGCAGCCTAAATACAAAGATAACTCCACTCTCCTACCACTGCTTACCTCTAATGAGCCTTGGTAGAACTAGTGTCCGAGTCATGGGGTCCAGAACGGACTGAAGACATGTGGAACAGAGTCATGGGGTCCAGAACGGACTGAAGACATGTGGAACAGAGTCATAGGGTCCAGAACGGACTGAAGACATGTGGAACAGAGTCATAGGGTCCAGAACTGACTGAAGACATGTGGAACAGAGTCATAGGGTCCAGAACGGACTGAAGACATGTGGAACAGAGTCATAGGGTCCAGAACGGACTGAAGACATGTGGAACAGAGTCATAGGGTCCAGAACGGACTGAAGACATGTGGAACAGAGTCATAGGGTCCAGGACTGACTGAAGACATGTGGAACAGAGTCATAGGGTCCAGAACTGACTGAAGACATGTGGAACAGAGTCATAGGGTCCAGAACTGACTGAAGACATGTGGAACAGAGTCATAGGGTCCAGAACTGACTGAAGACATGTGGAACAGAGTCATAGGGTCCAGAACGGACTGAAGACATGTGGAACAGAGTCATAGGGTCCAGAACGGACTGAAGACATGTGGAACAGAGTCATAGGGTCCAGAACGGACTGAAGACATGTGGAACAGAGTCATAGGGTCCAGGACTGACTGAAGACATGTGGAACAGAGTCATAGGGTCCAGGACTGACTGAAGACATGTGGAACAGAGTCATAGGGTCCAGAACGGACTGAAGACATGTGGAACAGAGTCATAGGGTCCAGAACTGACTGAAGACATGTGGAACAGAGTCATGGGGTCCAGAACTGACTGAAGACATGTGGAACAGAGTCATGGGGTCCAGGACTGACTGAAGACATGTGGAACAGAGTCATAGGGTCCAGGACTGACTGAAGACATGTGGAACAGAGTCATAGGGTCCAGAACTGACTGAAGACATGTGGAACAGAGTCATAGGGTCCAGAACGGACTGAAGACATGTGGAACAGAGTCATAGGGTCCAGAACGGACTGAAGACATGTGGAACAGAGTCATAGGGTCCAGAACGGACTGAAGACATGTGGAACAGAGTCATAGGGTCCAGAACTGACTGAAGACATGTGGAACAGAGTCATAGGGTCCAGAACTGACTGAAGACATGTGGAACAGAGTCATAGGGTCCAGAACTGACTGAAGACATGTGGAACAGAGTCATAGGGTCCAGAACTGACTGAAGACATGTGGAACAGAGGACAGGCATGGTTCCATGTACAGGGAACTTTTTGAACCTTTCTGCAGCGATAAATAAAGAAAACAAAGAAGACATTTTTAATAATAGTAATGATGGTAACAACAATTATATTAGTATAACTATAGCACTTACACAATTGCAAAGTGATTCTCACAACAAAAATAAAGAACAAAACAATATCAACAATAAAAAAACAAATGATTATAGGAATGTTAAGAGACAAAGAAATGATAAACATTCTGAGAGGCCGACTACAAAAGCTAGACTCAATGGCTCTTGATGACATCAATGAGCAGTCCCAATAGATGCTGTGGTATAAAAAGAAATAGAATAGGTCCAGATTTCTTCTATTTTGTGTTGGATGATTTGTTTTATTGATTGCTGATGGATTTATATATATAGGGTTTATTCAACAGCAGTAAAGCATTAAGTTGCTAAATTAACGTACACTGAACTGTAAAACAACTTACCACTATTTAGGAAAGGCTCTGATCAGGAGGGTTGACTAGTAGGACAGCAAAGAGGTGGTGTCATGTACAACCATTGGTAGATGTTACACCTGAAAGAAAGATAAGGAAATAAGAGAAGACAGGAGGACAAACATCCTCTTAAGTAAAAGACCAAATCAAGTCAAGCTTTAACCTGAGCCTGTTTTTTCAGTCTTTACAATGCACTGTTGGAAAATACCTTCCAAAGGCTAAATTCAAACTCAATACCATAAATAACTGGGTACCAAAGTGCTTTACCTGATAGAACACGTTCCACACGGAGCAGCAACCATCCGGCTCGGCCTTTTGCTGCATATCATCTCCTCCCTCTCCACTGTTTCCATTAGATCTCTACTGTCCAATAAAACTGAAATTCCCCAAAAAATCATATTAAAAAAAAGTTAAAAACAATAACTTGCTTTTGGCATTGAAATAGATTAGATTAGATTAGATTAGAATCTCACCTTTTTCCTGGATGTCAGGAAGGCGTTCCCTTCAAGTCCGCAACCAGTCATAGGGGTTCAAATGCAAAGCCTGAACGATGACAAGAGCGAGATTTACATTTTACAATTATATTTTTAATTCATACCAGAGCAGTGTGTACATAGGCCCTGTACGACATGCAGAGAACAGATCAAATCCCCTGACAGAATCACACACTTTGGTGATATCCTCTTCTGATAATGTTTCATCTTTTAGCAGCAAAGTAACATTACTCAAAGTATATGTATGTTTTGCATCTCCTCAACAATGGTCTGTATCATTGAGTAGAAAAAAACTGTCCCCACAATTTCAGGTAGATTAACACACATTTGTAAGAAAAGTTTACAATGAAGCACAAAAACCCTCTTTGTATTAAGCTAGCTGCCACAGAAAGTACAGTTTAACATGCTAACCTTTGGTGGAGAGCTACAGTTAGCTAACTTCATGTTCAACACAACACCTCTAATGGCATTACATTGACGATTTTAAATAAAACGTAACCCTCTCAACTTGTAAGATAACGTTAAGTTAACTTACAACTTATAGCTGCATCACCTTTTTCAGGGGAAACACAAACTGCAGAAAACGTTAGCTGCTAACTATTGTTAGCTAAGACAGCTAGCCTCCTAGCAAACGTAAGGTTAAGTTAACATTAACGTAACGTTGAAAGAAAGCAAAACGAACCTTGGATAAAGCTTTTACTCTCAGACTTGGTGAAATTGTGTAGTGTTGCTTACCTCCAGAAGGACTTTTAGCGCGTTTCCCAGTAGACAGAGCTGTCAGAGCGGTGCCTCTCAGAAGAGCAGCCGCTGGGCGGGGTCACAGAAACGTTCAACTGATCTTCAATCCTCGACCGTTACGGACCGTCTCCACAGCAGCGTTAAAAAAATCTTGGAGGTGGGCGTATCTGAAGCTTGGGGATTTTTTGCGAACAACCAATCTCATGAATCTCCCGCCCGTGACATACGAAGCAAAAAAGCCCATAGTAAACTGGATATAAACTCCCCAAAACAGGCGAAAACATACCACTGTCTCTGCCACCTCCCTCCATGCCTGGCTCCTCCGGTTTATATCCCGGTAGGTCTGGTCATAAAGCACCGGGTGATTGATTCGCTACCGCTAATTTCTCCTCCATTTTTTGGAATATGAGGAAATGACCTGCAGTTACGGGCCGTCTCCACAGCAGCGTTAAAAAATCTTGAAACGCTTCTGCCCATTCACTTTGAATGCGGTGACGTCACTTTCCCTCACTTTTCGCCGAAATGCATTGTGGGCAGGCGAGCGGAGATTTTCAGGATTTTGAGGATTCAAAGTTGAACAATGTTCAACTTTTGAAGCTGAGGTGGAAGCGGCAGCCAATCAAATCCCGTGTACGCAAATCTGACCGTTCAAGCTCTAGCCAATCAAACGGCGTGTATGCTGGGAGAGACATACCGCAGGTCATTTCCTCATATTCCAAAAAAATGGAGGAGAAATTAGCGGTAGCGAATCAATCACCCGGTGCTTTATGACCAGACCTACCGGGATATAAACCGGAGGAGCCAGGCATGGAGGGAGGTGGCAGAGACAGTGGTATGTTTTCGCCTGTTTTGGGGAGTTTATATCCAGTTTACTTCGGGCTTTTTTGCCTCGTATGTCGCGGGCGGGAGATTCATGTGATTGGTTGTTCGCAAAAAATCCCCAAGCTTCAGATACGCCCACCTCCAAGATTTTTTTAACGCTGCTGTGGAGACGACCCGTTAGTGCCAGTCAAAACATACCGCTTTGTTTCAACTACTGCCGTGTCGCCGTTCCCCCGTGTCCCGCCCTCTCTGTCTGTCTGTGTCTATTTCAGTTTCGCTAGCAAGACTGCTGATAGACCAGCTTCACCAGCATAGACCAGCTAAAACCAGCATAGACCAGCATGACATCCATGCTGGGCTATGCTGGTTTAGCTGACCAGGCTGGTCTTGAACCAGCAAGAACAGCCTGGCCAGCTTGTCCAGCCTGGTAAACCAACTAAACCAGCCTAACACCAGCCTAACACCAGCTAAAACCAGCTAAAACCAGCTAAAACCAGCAACCATCTTAAGCTGGTCTATGCTGGTTTTTTCAGCAGGGTTATGTTTACTGCCAACCTAAAAGTACCTCAAAAATAGTAATCAATAATATATTGAAAAGTTATTTGGCTGATTGTTTTATATTGGCTCAGCCAGGTTATATGGGATGCCCAGTCTACGTACAGATGGGTCACTCATTTTGAAATATTAAACTTAGTTTCTTTTCTAACATTTTAATTTTTCATCCTCATGTAGAATGCTATTATGAAACACACATTTGGGTTGTTTATAGCATAAAGAACATCTGATTTAATGTGAGGTAGGGAAATAATCATTTGAGTATAAGTATGTGTATATAAATATGTAATTTACAACAGCTGTAAGATGCTTGAAAAGCTTGAAAATGCACCTTGAAAATGCTTGAAAAGTGCTTGAATTGACTTGGAAAAGGTGTAAGAACCCTGCTTATAATAAACGTATTATATTATTTGCAAGCTCTTGTGGGCCACATAAAATGAAGTGGCGGGCTGTGAGTTTGACACCCCTGATCTAAACCATCATAATAATAAACTTGGTTAAAATACATAAAATCAGTCAGACTTCAGACAGGCCGCTCTCCATTTTGACTGCGCTGGGCTGTCACATATTATGTTGCTTTGATGAATCAGAAAACAGGCAATAAAACAAGTTTACACCACTTGTAGAAGTCTCATTGGACTCTAGGACGCTGATGTTCTGACATCCAGTAAAACAGAGTAAATAATGTGTTAGAAAGCAGATCCTGGTGTTAACACTCACCCTGTTGTCCTCCTGCTCCGTCGAGCTGTAAAACGGCGTTTGGCACTCTGACAAGTCTGACTTCATACTTTCACTTTCAACTTCCCTCCCTCCCTGTCTGCAGCCCCCCCCCCCCCCTTCTCTGTTTCATAACCAGCCTTATCAGCTGAACAAGTTCACATATGTTCAGTGAGATACAAATAAAGCTAAAAACAATCTCAACAAAGTTATTGAAATAAATATATTAAAACAGTGTGAAAATAAACCAGTACAAGTAAACATGCTGTCTTCAAAACCTCACTTAAGTTAAAGTGTGTATGTATTTAAGTACTCTAGTGTTAACGTCACATTAAATTGTTCCCTATTATATATATATATATATATTTGTTTCTGCATTAATAACCCTGCTGCATGCATTGCATATATTACTGTATTTTTCTCAGAATATGAATGGCGTTTTTTGTTACTGGCACCAGGGAGCCATTGCATGTTCAAATTCAGACTGTTTGCAGTCAGTATAGAAACCTTGTCCGATCTAGACAGATTAAAAGATACATTATATTTAAATGTTTTTGAGTTGCAGTACTTGAGTAAATGTACTTGTAATCACCTTGACCACTAGAGGTCGGTGTTAAATCAGTTTCTGCATTTAATCACAAACATCCATATGTGCCTTTTCTGTCCTGAAGAGGAATACACAGGAGCGAGAAGTACAGATTGAGTAAAAGTAGAAATTCTCAGATCTTGTACTTGAGTAAAAGTAGAAGTACTCAGATATTGTAGTAAAAATAGAAGAACTCAGATCTTGTACTTGAGTAAAAGTAGAAGTACCAGAGTGTAGGAATAGCCTACTCTGTTATAAAAGAAAGCATGAAACATTAATGGCAACACATTCCCCACAATAATCCCCATTTCCCACAGTCCTTGAAGGCGTCTTCCTTGCTGTGGAAACAGGGTCAGTGTATGTTTTGGTCATTGGATTTTCTTTTCACAAATGGAAATTCAAAAACAAAAAACGACTGGATATTTGATTTTCGTTTTCAAATTGAAAAACCAAAATTGAAATACAAGGCGTTTTTCTTTATCACGGTCAAAAAGGGATTTACTAAACTTAAAAAACGGGATGATTTTCATTTTCTACTTCTCAAAACAAAAAATAAAATCACTAGAAAACAGAAACAAAAAAAACCCCCCGTTTTTTCATATTCTGCTACCGGAAGTTGTCTTTCAAAATAAGAGCGCAGATGAGGACGGTCAATCCGTGTATCTACGGTCCATTTGTTTTCACAACGAAAACAGCCAAGACACATATTGAGCCCAGAAAATTAATGTTATTAAGGGCTGTAAATATAATAGGCCTATGTCTAAAATGGACAACATTGTTAGGAGATTTAAACTATACAGCGATTCTGCACTGCGGTCAACTCTTTTTTCTGCCATTAGTTCTTCGTGAGATCAATCCTGTTGGACTCAGTAGGCTAGTAGTGAAACTACTCCCACAAGTACTATGAAGTACTTACTGTGTACTTTTTGAGTAATCCTCTGTCAATGTCCCCTCTTGAGAACAAGAATGCATGTTTCTCTGCTATTTTGAATCATCGTTAAAACACCTTTCTTCATGAGACTGATATTGTTGGACAGAGTATTTTAAGAGGATATGGTAGACATGATATCAGCAATGAAGAAACACACTCCTCAATGTCAGTTTCAGTGTTTTAATGACAAAGATGACGACACCCTGAAACAGAGTAATACAGCGAGGTAAGCTGACAAAGTATTACATACATGCATGTCATCATTAACACAACACAAATATATGCTACGACACCACGTATATACTGTATACACCAACAATAGTGGGAACAGTCTTACATGTGTGAGTGGATGAACGTCTCGACACGAGGCGGAGTGAATGAACAATGTTTGAACTAAAATGGCCGCTCAGTACTACCGGGTCAGAGCGCGAGAAGGGTCTAGCTGCGGCCGCGGCCAGTACACGACACTACACGACACGCACCTGACACGACACTACGGTGGCTGAGAGACATTACCGTACATGGCAGATTAAAAGCGAATTGACGACACGGACGCTGACGCAAGGATATTTAAGGAGACATGAGGTTTACAGAGAACAGACAAACAATATGGCGCACCGAGTACAGGTAATTAACGTATTGTGGTTTTAGATATAATTACATACTATTTAGGTTCTCGTTTGTTTGTCGATGTGGCTGTTTAGCGCAGTGTAATTGTGTTTATTTTGCTAATTTGTATTTTAAATATTAAATGTAAAGGAATGGAATACATATATATATATATATATATATATATATTAGCTCTTAGCTTGACATGCTCAACGTTCAGTTAGCATATATGCTAACTGAACATGCTCGTTCAGTTAGCATGTCAAGCTAAGAGCTAAGATATATGTATATATTTTAGCTTGACAGATGGAACAATGCATGTACTCGCATTTTTACAAGAATCTGATTTTGTGTAAGTTTTAAATATTCATTGAAGGTGTCTTTCACATTTGAATGTTTAAAAAAAAAAAACATGTATTACAGTAGCTGCTATACTGACATGCACATATGTATAATTATATTATTATTTTAAGTGTGGTTTAAAGTTAAATGATAGAGGTTGACATCTAGAGGTTGTTTTGTGCATAACATGTCAACCAGAAGGGTAGAGCTGGCTGAATCAGATGGAGTTAAACTTTTTTTTTTTCAACAAGATATCAAGACACAAAATGTGCTCTACCAAATGGTGGCGCTGGCAGTTAAAGGGTTACCTTCTGAAAGTGAGGAAGTATGACCAGCTTTCTCCCATAGGATTATACAGGCCAGTCCATTGCTGCTTGTTTAAGGAGTTAACTATTTCCAATATTAAAGTCACTGAAATTGTATTCTATTTTATTCACCTATAGACAAACAACACAACACTCCGTGATGGAGCACGCCCAGAGCTCAACAAATTGGACTCGGACACCTTCCGTCCGGACACAGACGGAGAGAAGGTTCACAGATGAGGTGGCATTCGTCATGGATGTGCTTCTGCCAGAGGTTAGATTTCACTGACTTTTTATTTGTCGACTACACATTATATAAAATGACATATGTTGCACTTAAACTCATGGTCAATGTCCAGTAGAATGTTGATGCCAATTGGTCTGGCATAATTGTCACCTGCAGAATGGCACAACCTTTATTGGATGTCTACATTTTACTCTAACTGTTAAACGTGTGGCTTTAATCCCTTCATGACACAGGCGACAGCAGTGGCGTCGCCTGGCCTGGGCATCCGGGGCTTTAGCCCCGAATGTTTTTTCTGTAGCCCGGACAATTCTCCCTCAATAATATAATACATTAACCGTGCTTTACGTGAACCTCATCATGACACAAGAGAGGACGGCAGCACTGTAATTTCCCGTGTTCGGTGAATGCAACAGAGGCATGACACCAGACCAATCAGAGAGTTGCATGGAAATAAACGTGTGCTTGTGTCATTCAAGCTCGGCTCTGTGTGTGTGTGTGGCAATAGCGCATTTAGTGTGATAGAGAGAGAGGGAGAGAGAGAGGGAGAGAGGGGGAGGGAGGGACCGGTGCCAGCATGGACGTGTTGTTAGCATCTGGTTAGCTAGCTGCACTAACGGACATAAGGAGCTGTTTGTTCCACAAGAAGCTGGAGGAGAGTCCTCTCCTCTCAGACTGAGAGACTCAGGTGAGCTAAAGGACTCTCTGAGTGTTTAGATACATAACTTTAGTCTAAGTTATCTCAGTGGGTCTCTAACGGTTTGGTCACAAATTATTCAAAAGATTATTTCCGCGGCACACCTTCATATGATCATTATAGTTATAAAAAAAATAAGAGAATAAAGGAAAAACAGTTATGAAATACTATATGGCAGTAAAACAAGAATAGAGTTTAAATGGGAGTGATTAGTAAAATATCCATAAAGAAAAAGTACATCTGTTTACAGTTCTGCTTCATATGGGTGTTGAGAGAGGTATCCATAGATCTCTTCATGTTGCTCTCAAAGTGCACCAGACTGATGCTTTTAACTTAAATATTTTAAAAAAAATCTACCCGGGGGATCATCCCCCCGGACCCCCCTAGAGGAGGTGAGGTACCCACTGATAAAAAATACCACTTTACCCCTGCCTATATGCCGTGAGCTGATTATCGAGCATTCATTGTAACAGTCGCGGGTGTACTGTGTGTGTGTGTGTGGGGAGTGCAGTAAAAATGCCACTGTCGTGCCGCCGCCACTGTGGGCTAAGCCCCGAATGTTTTCAGGTCCAGGCGACGCCCCTGGGCGACAGTCCACGCCCTTGCAGCTGTACTCTCGGTTTCCCTTGAAAGAGCCAAGGAAACGTATAAATGTGGACCCGAGTATGACTGGAGGTAAGCTGGAAACATGAGGAGAATGCTAATACAATTTCCATTTAAAGTGTACAACCCCTGATGCATGTGAATTTATAATATTACATATATGACTTCTTTATACCATCTTGTCTTATCAGTGAGATGGAACTTTGTTCTCATTACCTCACCAAGAACATGAGTGAGGAAGCGCACCAAAGGCTGAAGGACTCCAGTGAAAGATTCTGAGGAGCTTTGGATTCCGAGGAGTTTTTAAATAGGCTTTAACCTCCTGCAGGTCAATCCTGGCTGCTTACATTTTTATTTAAAATCATGTTGATTTTACTGTTGGGATCAATTTAAAAGGTTATTTTTTTTTAAGCAGACCAGCTTGAATAGTGCCCCTCTAATTTTCCACATGATGTTCTGTTCAATAAATGTTCATTGAGGAAAACGGTATCAGTTTCTTATTGTATATTCATCACAGTGAATGCAGTGAATGCTGAACTTGCCGGACCATATACTGTAGTTGAAAGTACCCCGGAACCTGCGGTCTTCAGACTCTGGCCCCCCGCACCAACCTGGGATCCTTCGGGGACAGAGCCTTCAGTATGGCAGCCCCCACTCTCTGGAACGCTCTCCCTGCGGAGATCTGCAACATCCCCACGCTTGACGCCTTCAAAAGGGCCCTCAAGTCTGCCAAGGTCTTTGGCCCCA